AATAGCAGCCGCTTGAGAGCTGACAATCAAAGGCCAGCTAAAAAAAGGCCCCTCAGTCTGGGCTCTGTCGCACACGGCTCGTAGGGCCTATTTTGGGGGAGAGGGTGCCGACGTGCCAATGGAAAATCCATAGGGCGGGAGTCTCCCAAGGTGGGGGACCCATGCACCTCCCTCTCCCCACTGCAGCGCCCCACCCGAGTGCTCACGTATACAGGCACTCACACTTTGCAGCCCTCAGCCTGCCTTCCTGACCGCTGGACCCTGCCATCTCCACCACAGCCCAGGAGAGGAATGAGGAAACTGAGGCTCAGAGAAGGGAAGTTAATTGCACAAGTTCACACAGCTGGGAAGTGGGCAGGACAGCCACCACCAGATGGGACCCCTGTGGCTCACAGTCCAGTGCTGTCCCATAGAGGAAGCCGCATCCCTGAGGAAGCCAACGCCTTATTCTCTGGAGTGCCCAAAGCTTAGAGATGGGCCAATGGTGGGTGCTCTGGGTTGGACTGCGGGTGAGTAAGAGCTGAGGGTGACTTGTGGTCTTCGTCATCGCTTGGGAAGAAATCTCACTAGAAACCTCCAGCCAGTTCTGAGGGGACCTTGCCTGGCTGTGGGAGAGGCAGCTAGAACGAGTCCTCATCTGCACTGAGCCCAGCTCAGCCCCCTCATCTCATCCCTGGGACCACCTCACCCCCTGCCCCGCCCAGGCCCCCAGAGGCTGGCAGGCCCTGCCAAGTTTCCAGGGAATGTGTCAGATAAGGGGCTGGTGCTCATGACTCTCTCCCACCAGCCACTATCTCAGACCCTACTGCCACTACCACTGCCACCGCCACTGCCCCTGCCAGGTGGATAAGAATAGCAACAGCCGCGGTGAGTGGGAACCCACAGGGACGCTGACCACATCTTTAGGTGGGCAGCCTCAGCCTCAGATTGAGGATAAGTCTCCAGGTTCCCCTCTTCATCAGTTTCAGCCCCACCCAGCTCCCCCATCATCCCGGGCCCAAAGTCCTACCACATCTTAGGGTAAAACTCCAAGTCTCATCCCCTGCAGCAGCTGCCTCAGCAGGGGGAATCTGGAGGGGATGCCATCACTACATTGATCCTGAGCTGGGGCCTGAGTTCTGCTCTGCACTGTGTGACCTGGAGCTGGACAATGACCCTCTCGGGGTCCACAAGCAGGACAAGGTGGCACAGCAGCCCCGGGAGAATAGGAGACAGCAAGCCGAGGCCTCTCCAGGGGCTGGGGCCCCCGTTGTCCTGGTGATCACATTCTAGTCTGGCTTCTAAGTGCCCCTGGGAACTCTTGACTTTCTGGTCAGTGGGGATGTGGTGAGGGTGAGGGTCCTCATGTTCCACAGATAGGGGGTCCCTGGGATACACTGGGTGGTGTTGGGGAGACCCTGCCTGAGTCCTTGTGACACTCCTGTAAGGGTATGAGGGTGGCTGCATCACTCCAAGGGAAGAGGCTGTTGTCATGGAACCCATGGTGAGTGTAGCTGTGACACCGTTAGCAGGAGATCCAAGGAGCCTCCTCTCCAAGTTCCTGAGTCACTGTGACACATGGGGGTGATGGAGGGAGCTGAGTCCCAGTCCCCATGTCAGTGACCCCTGCAGCTCTCACAGCCTGACTCACTGCCTGGCCCCTCACCTGGTACCCCCAGACCTGACGCCTTTCTCTCCTCATCTCTTCTCTGTTCTCAAGCGACTCTTTTTTGTCCTCTCATGTCACCCACCTACAAAAGGGGTCTTGGGAAGGAGGTCAGAACGGGCTGAGGCAAGCTCCTCCCATACTCACATTCTGATGTGGCTTCACACAGACCAGACAGCAGCACACATTTACACACCCGCAGACACACATGTGCCCACATGCCTGATAGAGTGACCAGGCCACTAAGGGGTCTCCCAAGCTCAGTCTTCCAACACCAACCCTGTCTGGTAGGCCCCCACCACCCCTTAAGTCAGGCCCCATGCCTCTGAGACCCTCGCATGAGAAACACGTCCTCCTGCCGCAGCAGGGTGTCCAGAGGTGACACCATAGGTGAAGAACTTCTGCCCCGAGGCCCCAGCTAGAGTACTGGATGGGTGTAGGTAGGTGTGGGTGGGGTGGGGTCTCTGAGGTCCCAAGACTCTTTCTTTCTTTGTGGGTGAGGGCCAGATTGACCTCTGGGCCTCTGGCTTCAAGAGCTCTAATCACTGAGGCTGGAAAAAGTTTAAAAATATCCTCATGTTTACATTCTTTCCAAACCGGCCTCCCGATCCTCGGTGCTGGGTCCCTTTGATCTGGCCCAGTGCCTCCAGAAGGGGCCTGGGAGAGGGAGAGCATGAGGCCCCTGCTGGGGTCGACCCCTCACCCCCCTCCAGCTACAGCCCAGAGCCCCATGAGACCCTGGACATCACAGACCCAGTGAGCATCTGGGCCCTGGAAGGGAGCTGGGGCTGGAGGGGGTGTCTTGTGCCCGATCACCCAGCAAGGCCAGGCTGGGGCTGGACCTGGGTCCCCTCTCCAAACTCCCTCCCAAAAGCCTGGGCCTCTTGGGGCTTCTAGGGAGTGTGTGTACGTGTGGGACTGTAGGTCCCTCAACAATCCAGGCACTGGGAAAGCCACATTTACTGAGCCCTGCAGTGCCTGGCACTGCGCTAAATGCATTGTGCAGGGATTCTCTCATGTTTTCCCAGTGACAAAATCTTATATTACCAAGTAAGCCAAGGCTCAAAGAAGTGAAGCAGTTTTCCTGGAAACACGTAGCATGGATGAGCAGAGCATGGAACACACGTTCTTCTACCCACACAGCCATTGGTTGGCCCTCACCTTCCTCTAGCAGGGGCTAGGCCCTGCCTGTAGCATGAATCCTGCCTCACTAGCACAAATCTCTATAAGCATTAACTGGCCCACTGCCATGCCTAGAGACCAATCAGCCTTGTGCCTCTCTCCCTCTGCGACCCAGGACAAGCCACACACCCCTCTGATCCTTGCCTTTCTCTCTTTCTCTATTTATATAGAGACAGAGTTTCCGCTTTGTTGCCTTGAACTCCCAGCTTCAAGAAATCCTCCCACCCTGGCCTCCCAAAGTGCTGGGATTACAGGCATGAGGCACCGCACCTGGCCACCTTCCTCTATAGAGTGGGACTGAGGATCACAGGAGAGGTTTATGTCCCCACATGCCCAAGAAAATTGGGCCCCCATCTATGGAGAAGGGGTTTATGGACCTTGAGGTCAGCTCCAACATTGACACAACCAAGGAGCGATCTCGGGCCTGGAGGCCCAAGGAAGAAGCCCTCAAACTACAACGGACGCCTTAATTTGCCCTGGTATCCTGTCATCCACCCTTCCGTTTGTGGGTCTCCCACCCATCTGATTACCAACCCACCCATCCACCTATCCATCCGTCCATCCAGCCATGCATCTGCCTAGCCATCCACTTATCCACTCACCCACACACCCTCCTATCTCCCTACCCATCCATCTAGGATAAGGGCCAGAAAGTTATAGTTCAAGTGACTCATCTTATGGCCGTTATGAACCTAGAAATTTCCCTCCTCTTTGCAATTCACCTTTTCACCTTTACAAGAAGGAGCTGATCTGGGTATCTCTAAGGCCCTGCTGGGAGATCTTGGGAGAGCAGGGACCACCTGAATGCTGTGGACATTTCCAGAGAGATAACATGGACCCTGGCCAGATAGTTACGCCATGTGCCCTGGTTCTAAGACTCCCAGCTATTGCCCTTAACCTCCCTGACCTTCAAGATCCTCCACTGCAAAATGGGTCCAAAAATCCACCCTTGTAGGTTGATGGGAAGATTAGATGAGACACAACCTCCAAAAGCTCTGCACCCTGGAGACTTCTGAGTGCATGCAGGCAGAGTGGTGGATATCCTGGCAGAGGAGCAGGGAAGCCCTGCCTGGATGAGGGTAGCCAGCAGAGCCTCCAGTGGGGGTACCTGAGCCTGGATGGCAGGGGCCGGCCTCAGAGTCCAACCCCTGGGCTGGGTATCCTGGCTGAGTATTCAACAGTTTGCCTGCCCTGTCTCTCTTAGCTGGGCTTGGCCACTATCCCACAGAATCTGCCAACAGCGGAGAGATTATCTCCTAAAAATAGGGCCTGGGCCCCACAGAGCTTGTTTTTCTCCCTTCCCCGTGATTTACCATCATCAGCTCATCGTGCCTGGGACAGAAAGTCCCACCCTGACTCCCCAGAGATGATTGAGAAGGGGACATGGGGGATCAGCATGTATATGGGGTTACCCACAGGTCAGGGATTAGAGGTCAATCTGGAGACCTCAGCTCTTAGCAGGGCTCAGCAGAGCATCAGGACATGGCTTAATCTTGGGCCAGGGCCAGGGGTTCACCCCAGAGAGGGGCAGCTCCAGGGTAAGCCAAAGGGGTTCCTGTCCCACTCCCCTTCTCTGATTTCCTACAGATGCCCTCATGCACTCACCAGCCTGTGTGTGAAACACAGCAGTGCCTTGGAGCCTGCACTGGGGCAGAAGGACGTATCCCCAGCCTCACCTCTTGTGCTCCAGACCCATGGGGCCTCTCCATCCTGCCCAGGCCCCTGCAGAGACTGAGAGACCTCTGCCCATCCCTGGGTGCAAGTGACTCATACACAGGGGCTCAAGGTGCTCATACATGAGCAGAAAATGGGAACTCACAAGGTTTTGCAAAGATGACATCCAGGAAAACACATAGATATCACCCTCAAAGACACCCCTCCTTGACCATCACCTGCATAGAGTTCACCCATCCAGGATTTGTGGCTGGGGGGCTCTGGATGCCCACAAAAATGACTCACTTTGCTGTGGCCCCAAGCTCTTACCAGTGGCCCATATGATGTCCCCATGTCCTTTCCTGCAAGGGACTCCAGTCTTGTCCTTCAAGCCCAGACCCTTTCTGTGTGGCAGGAGATGGGGAAGGGATGAAGGAGCATGTGTGTGCACACTCACACACACACACACACACACACACACACACATGCACACAGACACTGAGACACAGACATACCAATCCTGTAGGGCGCAGCCCAGCTCTCCGGGGCTTCATTATTTTGCAAACATACTGCCATTTGGAGCACTCCCATGGCCAGCCCGTAAAGTCATTGTGCAGGGTCTGGAGACATGTCTGGTGATGGCGATCGTGCCTCCACCCTAGGGCAGATGGAAGGGTTTCTACTCTGTCCTGTCCCCTGCTGGATCTCGGGTGCCGGGCTCTCTCCCAGGGGACTCAGATGGAGCCAGAGGACAAGATCCCAGCTAGGGCTGCCTGGACCATTCAGACGGTTGCCTTCAGGGGCACGCTGTCTGCTGGTGGATCCAGGTCCTTCTTCCTTGACAGGGTCCAGTGGGTGAAGATGAGGATGAGGAAGATACCTGTGGGGCCCAAGAGGGATAGATCAGGCCTTAGAAGCAGGAACTGTGGGACTTGTTCATCATAAGGGACTTCCTGTGATTGGCATTGGTTTAATGAAGGGATGTGGTTTCCTGGACAGCATCCCAAAGCTGGACTGGGTATGACTCTGTGGTCCTGGTGCCTGGAGAAGCCTGACTGCTCAGACTGCTTTGCCCCTACCCCTCTGAGACTGTCCCAGTATACTCAGCCTCCAAAGTCCCCTTTTCTGGGGGACATCAGGGAACCAGTAAGTTGGACCCCAACTCCATGGACCTCCAAGAGAAAGGCTCCTCACAGCACTGTGCTAGACCAGCAAGGAAAACCAACAAGGAGAAAATTTGAGGGGCTAAAGAAAAGGGGATGAAAGGGGTGGCTTAGACTGATGTGATTAGGCTACAAAGACCTGGGCTCTGTCACAACGTGACTATGTAACCTTGGACAAGTCACTTAACCTCTCTGAGCCTCAGTAACCTCATCTGCAAAATGGGGAGATGCCAGGATCTACCTCACAGGGTTGCTGGGAGGATTCCAGGCAATATTCCCTGCCACACAGTCAACGTACAGTCATGTACCTATAGATGCTGTTATCAATGATGATGACAGTGACTATGATCAAAGGGGCAGGTGCAGGCCGGGCGCGGTGGCTCAAGCCTGTAATCCCAGTACTTTGGGAGGCCGAGGCGGGTGGATCACGAGGTCAAGAGATCGAGACCATCCTGGTCAACATGGTGAAACCCCGTCTCTACTAAAAATACAAAAAATTAGCTGGGCATGGTGGCGTGTGCCTGTAATCCCAGCGACTCAGGAGGCTGGGTCAGGAGAATTGCCTGAACCCAGGAGGCGGAGGTTGCGGTGAGCCGAGATCGCGCCATTGCACTCCAGCCTGGGTAACAAGAGCGAAACTCCGTCTCAAAAAAAAAAAAAAAAAAAAAAAATGGGGCAGGTGCATAATGACTAAGAGAGTTGGGGGCTTCCATTTTCAGAGCGGGGGGGCACCATGGGGACAAAGGTGTTTATTTGGAGGCTATGGTTCCATACACCCATCGCCCTCACCCACACAGGTAATACCCAGCCTCCATTACCTATTGCTACCAGGGTGCCCACAAGGATGCCCACTGCTGACAGCTTCGTGGGCATGCCCTTCATGCGGCCCACCTTGCGCAGGCACTGCCCCTCCACATTGCAGCGACACACGATCACTGTGGGGAGAGGGGAGGAAGGTAAGATTAGAGAGGGGAGGGCTCCCCAGCTACTCAGAGCCCCCAGCCCAGACACCTGGCTAATATGTGTGTGTTTGTGTACATGTGTGTATTCACTCATGTGTGAAGATATATGCGCTGGCCAGGCATGGTGGCTCACGCCTGTAATCCCAGCACTTTGGGAGGCTGAGAC